GTGTTGTCTAGTAGTAGCTGAATTAGAAAAAAAATCCACATGTCATGGGCTTTTTTATATAGAATGGGGTGATAAACAAGCACACAGTCCACCCGATGGTAAGTGGATGCTGTGACCCATAGACATCCATATTTATCCCCAATTAAGAATCAAAATGCAAACGCGTTGTCGCTCCTGAGGACTAAGATGGAATGCCTTGATTTCAGTAAAATAGGTCTCCGGTTCTCTACACTCACCATACAAAACACAGCAGCATTACGCTGCTTTTATGCAAGTTTTTACGCTGGTATTCTGTGAGAGCGTGGTCCTGGCCCGTGCGAGCCGACCCATTCATGCTACAACTATAATATAGCTGCAGCTTGGGTCTCTACCAAGTAAGATAAATTTAAATTGATTGAAAATAAATATCGAATATCTATTAATATAACATAAAAAGGTCTTATTATTATTACTTTTACCTTTGACACTCATAGTTATGATTAGTATATACATAGTGATAAAGAAAAAAAGTCTATTTCAAATCAAAATGTTAAGAGATGGAAGATATAAGTGTAATGACCTTTTCATGTTAAATTACAAACCAAAAAAGTTCAATCAAAAAGTTCTTTAATATTCATTAGACAACAGTATTTCAGTTTTACAAACAAATTGTCTTTCGGATAATATATAGCCTTCTTAAATCACTCCTGGCATTGTTTTTATGTGTTCGTGAAGTTTAATTGCCATTGGTTCAGCCATTCGGAAAATTTACATGGGCAGACAGACAAAAAGTTGAAAAATATCTATTTATGTCTTTATTGCACACAAATAACCCTCTAAGCTTAATTAAACAGTTACTTCCGCATTAAAGGTGGACACTTCAATCTTATTAAAATAGAGTATAGATAATTATTGTGTTGTAATTTTATATGTGGTAGAGCCATGCTGCAGTTATAGTAATGTCCTCCAGACCGAATTTCGGCCACGGCGGCCTGCCTCAACGGAGGCTAGCCATCGGCGCAGGACAGGATTATAGTGCCCAAGTGTATGCACAAGCACAGGTGCACTCTCTGTTCCCTCACTCTCATAATCTGATGGGACGGTAAACCGACATGACCGGAGAGAGATCAGGCGCAGGACCAACGGCTTTACATGCTTTCCGAGGCACGGGGGTGAGACACCGCCAACTTCCTGACTCCGGGCAGAATTAAAAAAAAACTTTTCAACAACTTGACAATTTAAATCACATTCTTATGATTTAAATCCTAAATTTGGAAACAAGTTTATCGCATCACCTTTAGAAAAATAGATTAGATATTTAAACTGCACAACTATTTGTGTTATCTTAAGATTAAATAAGGAGACATGAGACACCTATTTAGTTGATAAACAATGTGATAATTTAATTAATAATATATAAATAACAAAACTTTAATTTTATAGTAAGAATTTATAAGTGGTAGCATTCCTAATGATTTCTTGTATTTACGCGAACACTACACATTGATTAAAACTACTTTTACGGATTTTATTGCGTTTGATTTAAATTATTTTTAATTCCCGACGTTTCGGGTGCTTTCCAGCAGCCATGGTCGCAGCGGACTGAGGTGACTGACGATCCGATGTCAATGTTAACCTGGAGTCCCTTTAGCTTTTTAATTATTATTTATGGTCCAATCTACACAGAATGAATTAACTGTGTCTTAAAGTATTGCAGTGTTACCCTGCATTTAGTTTTAATTTTATTTATTACAGAATGCCAAGCTGGTGGTATACCCAGCCTCTTTATTGAAATCAGGATATTTTTTAATTTCAATGGCCTCACATATCATCCTTGGTAGGAATCAATGTTCTTTCGGGAGGATTTGTGGTCTATCAAAACAGATGTAATAGTTGGGGCCGCCTAGGATATGATCAACATTCCGGGAATCTGCAGTTTGTGATCATATCCTAGGCGGCCCTGGGTGCTGGCAATTAATAATAATTGAAATTTTAAGGTTTAATTTTGTTAATTATAGCATCCCAAGCAGATTTTATATGTGGTAGAGCCACTCTGCAGCTATATTATGGTTGTAGCTAGAATGGGTCGGCTCAACCGGGGAAGGACCACGCTCTCACAGAATACCAGTGTAAAATAGCAGCTTAATACCGCTGTGTTTCGTATGGTGAGTGTAGAGATCTGGAGACCCTTTCATTACAGGAAAAGAGGCATTCCATCTTAGTCCTACCTACAGTCCTAGCTACAGTTACGCATTATCCATATTAGCAGAAACCACTTCCATTGATATATCAAGGGCTGCATATTGCAGCCAGGTATACCCTCTATTAGTTTACAGTATTATTTTCTGGGGTAATTCTACAAACATGCAGTCAACATTTATTCTGCAAAAGCAATGTCTGCAGATCATTTATAATATGTACTCAGATGAAACTCTAAGAAATGTATTCAAAGAAAAAGGTATTTTCATTCTCACTAATACTTTTTATCAAACAGAATGGCAACTATTTTCAGATTAAATCTAATCAAATAGCAGTAAATATAATCATAATTTATATTCACCTACAATAAATAATTAAATGTATTATAAGAGCACCTTTTGCACAGGGATTAAAATATTTAGGGTATGTTCCGAAATGTTTTCAGTATACTGCCGAATATGAATGACGTCTTCAATTGACACTATATTTTACTAGCGTGTCACTGCCATATTGTGTCAGATATCTGGCCATAATAAAACAATTTCAATTGTGTGTGCGCTGAATGAAACATGCCAGAATTTGTTTTTATTTATTCAAATACAAAAAATTATAGAATAATTGCTGGTATCTCCATTAAGAGGATATCAACCAACCATAAAGAGGAGGCCAACACCTTTCCAATACGGTACAAATGTATGATGTCATATACTGTCCTATGTTTTGGAAGCAGCCAACTTCAAACGGATAATGTTGTGAGAAGAGATGGCATGCCTCGCAGCATGCTCTTAATACTCGATCTCTATACCATTACCACTGATTAAAACTACTTTTACGGATTTCATTACACTTAATTTCAATTATTATTAATTCCCCACGTTTCGGGTGCTTGCCAGCACCCAGGGCCGCCTAGGATATGATCACAAACTGCAGATTCCCGGAATGTTGATCATATCCTAGGCGGCCCCAACTATTACATCTGTTTTGATAGACCACAAATCCTCCCGAAAGAACATTGATTCCTACCAAGGATGATATGTGAGGCTATTGAAATTAAAAAATATCCTGATTTCAATAAAGAGGCTGGGTATACCACCAGCTTGGCATTCTGTAATAAATAAAATTAAAACTAAATGCAGGCGTAACACTGCAATACTTTAAGACACAGTTAGTTCATTCTGTGTAGATTGGACCATAAATAATAATTAAAAAGCTAAAGGGACTCCAGGTTAACATTGACATCGGATCGTCAGTCACCTCAGTCCCCCGCGACCATGGCTGCTGGAAAGCACCCGAAACGTCGGGAATTAAAAACAATTTAATATATATATAGTTTTATTAAATGTGTAGTGTTTGTGTAAATTTAAGATATCATTTTGTAAGGAACATCTAAAAAAGATATGAAGCCCGCCAAATTGGGTTAGCTTAGAACCTTAGAAGACACTTCACTAATCCAAACCCTTTAAAAATTTAAGTCAGCCTATGCTCAGAAGTAAGACATGTTATTTCAACTGATTCTTTACTTTCCTCAATTAAATGCCAGAATATATTATAATTTTTTACAAAAACTAATGATTTTCGTAATATTTTACAACGTAGATAAGGTGTCTAATACCTAATTTAATTAATGTAATTGTGTAACCAATAATATATGAATCATTTTAAATAAAGAGTTGTAATAAAATAGGAAGAGATAGAATAAAAATTATACATGAAAATTATTACGATTAGGTACATGAGTAACCCGAGAAGCCTACTTTCATCTCGACTGTACACGGCAACATGCGTCGCAACTTTAAATTGAGAATATTCAACGAAAAACAGGTTTAAAAGTAATTAAATATTACAAACTATTTTGAGAAGTTTACCTTTAAAAGGGCTCCAAATTTACCTCGCTCAGAAATACAGCAAACGTGTTTGATTAAAAAGTTAACTTATCCAATAACATAACACTACACTTGAGTTTTTAAACTTAATATAATATTTCTTGTGATGTATTTTTCACATATATAACAATTTAAATGGCACTTAAGTTAGAATATAAACACTTAAAATTATATACTAGGCACTGATAATGAATTTCTATAGGGTAAAAACTTGTTTTAGTTGAAAAACAAGTCGGCGTTTTTTCGGTAAAAGTTGAGAAACTTGCAGGATTGCAGGGTTGCAGGCAGTGTGACCATCGTGAAAAACCACAGAATCTGCCGCAGATTGCTACATATTTATTTATCTATGATCTGCCGGCTAAAAATCCTTAGAGCATAAAAAATCTATAGCCCGTTCACCGTAAGATGTTCCCTGCCTTGGGAAATGGCAGCATTGTCTACGGTGCTGCCAACAATATATGGAGCATTTACCCCACTTGGTGGTTGCTGGCAAAATTATCTAAACTTGAAAACCCCTGATTAATATGTTTTACTTGCTTATTTAAATAATATACGATATATTATTTAAATAAGCAAGTAAAACATATTAATCAGGGGTTATAAGACTAGTAAGGTTGTGAGTGATAACACAATTTAATATTTAAATTATTTATTGATTTATTTTTCCGACAATAATTATGGTCGAAAGGAACAATTCCGGATATACTCGTATCACTGTCACTTTCATAAACGTCGTCATCATCATCTGTCGTATCCGAATCTGTGCTGCTGTCATTTCCTAATTCAATGAGGGTTTTCTGAAATGTTCCCCGTGAGATGGCAGCGCTGTAGTGTCAGGTCCAACTACCTGTCAAAACACTTACACGATTTATATTTTTCGATCATTTTTTTGGTTTATTTATCCTTAAAAACGTTACAAACAGAATATTGTTTTCCAAAATGCCACAGTGTTGTGCAGTGCCTATGTGTGCAAATAAAAAAGGAGGGCATAAGTTCCCTACAGAAGATAAAAACCGATTAAAACAGTGGCTTGTAGCCATTCGCAGAGATAAATTTACTCCAACGAAAAATAGCCTCGTTTGCAAAAGCCACTTCACAAAGGATGATTACCAGCTACCGAAGGACTCAGTATTAGAAAAACGTAAGAATATTTTGTACTTATTTATAATGATAAGCTTCAGTTAAGTCACCTTGATTATATCTGTGCGCGACTAACCTTCAATGATGTAGTGTAAACGTTTTTTAGTACTTGCCTTATCAAAAATGATTTCATTATGACATTATATTTATTGAATTATTATTCCAGCCAGGCCTGTGTTGAAAAAATGTGCAGTGCCAAGTCGATTCCCATGGATTGACCAAAATTCTAGTTTGCATCAAAAAAAGAAGGAGCGGCATCAAAGGCGTTTGGCGCGAAATGAAAGGAAAATTAGTGTCCAAGTACACATAAACAATGAAAAAGAGAAGGATGACACCTTCCTCATGGAAACTACAAACTTTTTCGAAGTAGAAATTGAATTCGAGAAGAAACAGAATGATGTTGGTATCCAATGTGATTTATGTGGAAGTGATAATCTCAAAACACTTAAAGAATGTCTTCAAAATGAAAATAAAAATAAAAAATCTTCAATTGCAAATGTGCTAGATATAACCAATGCGGCCGAAGTACAGTTTTATACTGGTTTCCAAGATTATGAACATATCAAATTCATATTTAGTATTTTTGGAGATGAAGTAAATTGTTTAAAATATTATCCTCAACTGAAAACATTGAAGGTGCCGTTTCTAAACCCTTGTGATCAATTCCTTCTAGTGTTAATTAAATTACGCCGGAACATGCTATTTACAGAACTCGCCTTTCGATCGAAGATTAATAAAACGGTACTAAGTAACATTTTCATAACATGGATCAATTACTTATATTGTAAATTGAAAGAGTTAAATGTTTGGGTGCCAAAACAATGCATAGATAAAAATATGAAATACTATGGCAAGATTAATCCATGCACTGTGATAGTAGATTGCACGGAAATAAAAATAGAGAAGCCCAAAAATCCACTTACACAACAGCTTACATATTCCACTTACAAATCAGCAAATACTCTAAAAGTTTTAATTGGGATTTCAGCATCAGGCTGCGTTACATTTGTATCCGATGCATATGGTGGATCTACGAGTGATCGTGAATTGTTTGAAAAATGTGGACTTATTGATAAACTTGAACCTAATGATATCATTTTTAGTGACCGTGGCTTTAATGTACAAGACCTAGTGTGCCATAAAGATGTTACAGTTAATGTGCCAGAATTTTTAAAAAATACTGATGGACAATTTGAGACTTCTCAACTGACAAGGTCAAAAAATATATCTTCAGAACGGATACACGTTGAAAGGGTCATTGGTTTGGCTAAAACTTTTAAGATCTTAAGCGGCAAGTTGGATTCAAAATTGGTACCTTTAGCAGATAGAATAATATTTGTATGTTTTATGTTAACCAATTTCAAAAATAATATTATAAAGTAAAATATGTTTTTTTTCAATTTTATTTAATTGATGTCGCTTTTAACAGTACTGTATTAAACATACTTTATTAAATAATAACAAGAATACAAAATTAAACTTTGTTCTAATTTCTATCACATAGAATCTTACAATATACTATAAAAATATATTAACAATCATACATATTTTTTGCTATCTTTGGCAACATAAATTGAAAAAAGAGGCTTTTACTCGAGGGATTATAATATTTTGTATAAATGAATCATTTTTTTTAACATTTATTATTTTTTCATCAACATTAGTCCATATAAATAAATCACAACAATCTCTTCCTGTGACAAGTAACTGCGTTTGGATTTGGTAATAATAGTTGCTTGTTTCTTTCAGTTGCAAATCATGCTCTAAATGGAAATAATTGTTGGATCCAATCATTTCATCCTTTATGGAATATGGACATTTAACTTCTAAAATTTTGTTATCTCCAATTAATCCATCAGGAGAAGCGCCAATGAAAGGGTACTGCACAGAAACATATAAACCACAGCGTTCTACTTTTTTTCCAGTTTTCCCCTCATATGCTTCAATTGCTGTGGTTTCCATAGACTTGCCCCATTCTAAGGCCGTGCTTACTATTTTCTTATTACATATAAGGCTTTGTGCATACTTTTCTTGGTCCTTTTTAGCAGTAAATTTACAAATCTCACCGACTCTTGAAGCAGTCACTCGAAAAGATCGTTCTGTATGCCATAACTTTGTCTTCGTCTGATTTTTAGTTTTCTTTTCAATTTCCTTTGCTGAGTCAGGTGTAACCTGTTAGGGGCAAAGGATAAGGAAAGTATGAAAGTATAAACCTAAACAAACATCTACAATCCCTATGCAAGTGCAATTAATATTGATGATTACATAATATACTAAATAATAAAAAAATATAGTAGCTACAACTTCTCATGATTCACCACCTCGCTTGCTACAGTACAGTCAATAAGATTGTACAAGTCGTAGCTACTATAATAAATAAATTCATCTGGAATAAATGGCTTACAGATATTTTATTAAGAATAAGTTGATGATGTAAAGGAAAAGGTAGGTAATCATGGTCATGTATCACATCTTGCATGTTTGCACTGTCCAAAATTCCACATAATCCTATTCTTTTTTGTGACAATGAGCAGTAGTTAATGACTTTATTTCTAACTGTTGTAGCCCATTCTTTTCCCTGACTGATAAAGGACTGTGGTCTTGGATCATAGCACACACTTCTTTTCTTTTTTTTGCAAACATTATATTCTGCTATTTCATATGAAAGGTTCTCTGCTTTTTTCGGCGAAACATCAAGTTTATTTTTTTTTAGGTACATGCCATACTTGTTTTTTTTGTGTTGGAGTCATTTTAATTAACCATATATTCTGCTCTCGGAATTTGAGTATAGCATAGCACAAAACTGACACATGCTTGCAAATGGCTTTTGGTCCTTTCCCTGCTACACATTCACACACCGATTGTATAATAGATCCACTTCCATTACATATGGCAATGGAAGCAAAATAAGTGAGGGCTTTTGTATTTTCAGAATGGACTTGACCTTTGAAAAATATATGTGTACTAGTATTTGCGGTCACTAATGCGAGTAGGTAGTTATTTTGCAGCATATTATAACCTCTTCTGTGCACTGCAGAATAATCTGACATTCCTATGCCGTCTTTATACAATTCAAGGAAATACGTATTTATGTTAATAATGTCAAAATTGGGTAAAACTGTTTTTGAATCTACACTTTTGTATAACTTTTCTTCTGGCCATTCTATTACATAATTAATCTCACTTAAGAGATGAGAATTATCATTTTCATTTGATTTGAAGTTGTTGTTTCTGTCATAGTCATTTAGCCTGGAATATATAATATACATTAATCAACAACAACTCACTAAAACACAAATAACTTCAATTTAGTAGTTAAAAAAAAAACAATCAAATTGTGGAAACAAATAGAAGTAGATTATGTTTACCTTTCAATGAGCTTTTCTTTAGTACCAGTGACTTTTGCGCCTCTCTTTTTTGAGCTCAATTTTCAGTTCGGCAACCTTTCTTTGGCCGTAATCCATAATAAAATCAATAACTCTTCCAAATACATAAAATTTCACTAAAAAAAATAATACGTTCGGTAGGAATCTGTGCTATCTGACAGCTGTTTGGACCTGACGCATACGAAGCACCGCCTGGCGGCAAAAAAAGTATCGGAAACCCTGATTATGAATTTATCAGTAATGTCATCAAGTACATAAAACTTGTCTTCTAAATTTTTTACGTGTTCACACTGCTTTTGTCAATCCTGAGGGGTTATAGATGAAAAAGCTTCTTCAGTTAACTTAACGATATTCCCAGCTTCTTGGCCGACATTATTGCTGGCTACTCGTCTCTTTAAAAGACACCACATAAACTCAATCGCATTTAAATCGCAGTGGTAAGGGGGCAACCTAACCACTTTATGGCCATGAGAAAGCAATAATTGGTCAGCCTCATAAATCGGCGCTTCTTTGTGCTCTTTTATAATTTCATAAAGTTCTGCTTTCAGCATTGTTGGTATATAAGACAATCCCTTATTTGTTATCCAATTTTGCATTTGAAGTTTTGAGGAACTCATAGTGGGTGCTTTATTTACTTGTACGGTATGATAGGGAGCGTTATCCATCACGACTAAGGAGTTCGGAGGCAAATTGGGTATAAGTATCTCTGGAAGCCATTTTATAAAATTGGTTCTGTTCATGTCGTCATGGTGATTTAAAAATCAATTGAGCATTAGGAATAAACCCTATTTCTCCACCTGCTGCTAACAATGAAAATATTATTATGCTAGGAGATTTTAATGGAAGGGTTGGGGTGAGGAGGCTTGGTTATGAAAGGATATTGGGAACGTTTGGTGATGAAAGTATAAATGAGAATGGTGAAAGCCTCCTCACCGTATGTGTGGAAAGGAATCTTTTTGTGACGAACACTTTCTTTCGTCATAAGAAGATTCACATGTATACTTGGGAAAGAGGTGATGATAGAAGCATGATAGATTTCATAACTGTGGATGAAAGAATGAGGAGCGCAGTGGTGGATACAAGGGTTTACCGGGGGTCCAACGTAGGGACGGACCACTACCTAGTCTTATGCCGAATTAGGGGTTTATTCAGACGTTGGCGGCATAGGACATCTGTGTCTACCACTGCGTTACAGCGTATAAGAATTGAGAGGTTACAAGATGAAGATGTGAAAGACAAGTACAAATGCAGACTGAGAGAAAATATAAGTAATTTGGATGAGTTGTGTGTGAATGAGTTAGACTTGGAGAATGTGTGGCATAATGTTAAGAAAGGTTTAGTGGATGCAGCTACCGAAGTATGTGGTGTTAGTAAGAGAACGAATGAAAGGAAAGACAATACGTTATGGTGGGATGATGAGGTACGTATGGAAGTTGAAGCAAAGAAGAGAGCATGGCTAGATTTACTAGCGACCAAAGCCGGTAATTCTGGCGGTAAGAATGATGAGAATGAAAGAAAAAAGGCAGAGTTTAAACGTTTAAATAAGAGAGTAAAAGAATTAGTTGAAAGGAAAAAGCAAGAAAGAACGGATAGGAATGATAGAAGAATATCGGATAACTTCCAGGCAAATACTAAAATGTTCTGTGAAACTCGTAAGAAATACCAGGGGACTTTCAAAACAGCCTAGATTGAATGCGATACGAGACGAGAATGGCTGTATACTGAATGATGAAGTGTTGAGTAAAGAGATGGAAGGAATATTTTGAAAGCGAATTTATGAGTGAGGAGAAGTGTGAACTAAATGAAATAGAAATACCGAAAGAAGATGAAAGAGATAGGGAGATAAGTATAGATGAAATAATGAAAGCAATGAAAAGCATGAAAGTAGATAAGGCAGCCGGATATGATAGAGTTTCACCCGAAATGCTAAGGGCTGGAGAGGACGTGGTGGCAGGACTGCTGTACACCTTGTTTAATTTATGTTGGGAACTAAAGCGGGTACCGGGAGACTGGTGCAAAGCCGTGATAGTCCCAATATATAAGGGAAAAGGGTCACAGCAGGACTGTAAAAACTACCGTGGTATCAGCCTTCTTAGCATTGTGGGAAAACTGTATGCTAAGGTACTAATTGAAAGAGTTATGAAAGAAACTGATGAAAAAATTTGGGATGTGCAAGCGGGATTTAGAAAGGGAATGGGGTGTACAGATCAAGTCTTTTCCATGCGCATGATCGCGGAGAAGTTTTTGGCGAAAAAACCAAAAAGTTTTTTGTGCGTTCATGGACTTGGAAAAGGCTTATGACAGAGTGGACAGGGAAGTGTTATGGCAAACGCTGAACGCATTTAGGTTGAGCGCTGGTTTGATACAGGCATTAAAGTCTCTGTATAGGGACTCGAGTGCTTGTGTTAGGATCAACGGGGTCTACTCGGACTGGTTTGGCATCCATAAAGGTGTCAGACAGGGCTGTGTAGCTTCCCCGTGGCTGTTCAACCTATTTGTGGACAGCTGTTTGGAAAATTTGAAAGTTGAAGAATGCGGGTTAAGAATGGTGAGTTAACCATCAAATGCCTTTTGTACGCCGATGATCAAGTCATTCTTGCGTCGTCGGCGGCCGAGTTGCAAATGATGGTTACATTAATGAACGGGTCATTAAAAGAAAGGGGAATGAAAGTGAACGCAAGTAAGACGAAAGTGATGGTTTTTGAAAGAGATGAAAGCAAAACGGTATGTGAAATAAGAATAGAAGGAGAGTTAATTGAGCAAGTGGATGAGTTCGTATATTTGGGATGTGTATTCAGCAGGGATGGGAGATATGATAAGGATATTGAACGACGAGTGAATGCAGGAAATAAAGTAAATGGGGCTCTACACTCTATTGTGAAAAGTCAGAATGTGTCAAAAGAGGCACGTATGGCAATTCACAGTGCTGTATAATGCCCTACTTTAACGTATGGTAGTGAAAGTTGGGTGTGGCAGAAGAAGCACGAGTATGTTAGG